AACTATTTGTAATAACTGTTATTATAAATTGTATTATTGTTTGTATATTCAAAGATATTTGTGTTAAAAAAGAAAACTGTGTGTGTCAATCTTGTTGGCAAATATCATGAACTGACTATATATCGGCTTTTACTTAACTGCTAAATTCAAAGTGTACAATTTAACTACTAAATTTAAATGATCAGTTAACTCAATTTCAAGCTCTTCGAAATTATAATACACAACAATTTATATAAACGTTTGCACGATGCTTCTGATTTTTATATGCACGATTGTATTACATCACGTTTTTTAAACACCCCCAACACCAGCTAGCCCGAGATCTTGACGTGGATCCAAAAAAATTGAGTCATTCTAGAAAGATTTGGGTTGTTTTGAGTGGACAAAAAGAAGACGTTTGGCACTATTTTCGAGGTCTAGGTCATTGGACCAGACCTGTGACCTGACCCGAGACCATGAGAGCCAACATGGAGAAGTTAACTTGTAAATGTAAAGTAAAATGATGTAGCAATGAAACATGCTTGAAATGTTCTAGATGTGGTTATGAATGTGATGGTTTAAGTGTAGCGATCATGTTAAACCGTGGATCCAGGTCGGATGAGGATAAAACTTATCCGAAGATATCCAAATCGAGTTGACATAAAAGCTGAATCGAAGATTCGTCAATTGTTTACTAAATTGATAGCGAAACATAAAAAAACAACAACAAAAAAACGGGCACAATAGTATCGTTAACTTCAAAAATGGGGATTGGAATCATATATATAAGAACTCATTAATTTCAATGTTTTGTGTAACGTATGGCACAGTAAAGCCCAAAGATGTGGTGTTGAAGCTGAATCAGATGCACGATGTATTTATTACAGGATGATTTCCCTACAGATTTTCAGATTAAAAATGCCATTTTTGCAATGAAGAGTAAATATAAGAAGGATGGTATAATGCCCAGTACGGTACCACTATAGTATAATCTATATAAATTTCATTATATCATAGTTTCATTAATGTATAGTTGTTGTTTTTCGTTTTAGAAGTTTTGCCGAGCTTCATTCGTCGAGATCTATCGAAATAGCCCTAAATCTCCGATTTCCGGAATGATCCCCTGTTGACCATATTAGGCTCAGTATTAAAAGATGCTCGGCTGGCTCGTGTGGCAGGTGTTAAAAATCGATATTTGATTGGTCGGGTGAGGTTATAGTATGTATATTAAAATAT